AGGGGAAAGTTACTCTTACAGAACACACTTCTACTGCATCCTGGAGCCCATCCTCCCAACACCAGGAGAGCCCGAAGAAAGGAGCTGGTGAATGATACAAACTGGATCTTCCAACACACCCTAAGCACCTTGCCTCCCTAAAAGACATGTTCACCGAATCCCAAGATGCTGGGTCCTCTGAGAGACCAGCCATCTCTGGGCGGACTATAGGAGCAAGGTCGGTGCAGAGGATCTTCACCGCAAACAGGATGGCTTCCAGGGTAGAGATCTTATCACCCAGTGTCCTCTGATTTTGAACATCACTCTCTCTTTCTTTCAAAACCTTTATTTCTAAGTTAGTAAAATGGAAATAATAAAACTAGTTTGAACCCAGATCATGTTTAACCCTTGTAAATGGAAAAGTATAAATATGTATCAAGTTCACTCTAGCGGAGAGACTGTGTCATACATCTGTTATGCAAAATGTTACACAAATGAAAGGTACTGTTATTCATTTCACCAAATTCAGGCTTGAGCACTTAGAAAGATGATTTCATGTGAGAAAGTTGGTCTTGGAATCACAGGAATATTTTCAGACTGAATTGTGTTCTCTGTTTGCCCATATTTTGTATCCAAATCTCCCCATCGGGCATTCCTTCGAGTCATTCTCTAGCATGTCCAATAGGTGCTGTGGTCTCTGTGCCGCCCCATCTGAGAACTTACTCCAGTTAATAGAACAACTTCCCTAAGGAGCCTACATGTCTCAGTTTTGTTCCTCCTGACACATCCTGGGTTACTAGTTGGGCACTGAGATGTAGGCGTTTCCTCCCTTGGGCATCTCAGAGTTCACTGGGTTTTGCATCATCCCACAACAACCTATCCCCAAGACATCATCCTGGATCCAGCTCTACAGAAAGATGGCTCCTCCTCGGGCAGGCTGCCCCAGGCCCTCTGAATCCTGTCCACTCAGTGCCCAGCCCTGTTCTGCCACTTCTCCCTGCACACTTATTCTCAGGGACCTCTGTGAACACACCCATGTGCACAACTCATGGAGCCTGAGAGTGATGAGACCCCATCCTGCAGCCTTACCTTTCTCAAACCCTCCAGCCTCTCATCCACACAAGCCCAGGGGTGCTTGTGACATTGACTGGTGAGGAGGCCCTCAACTCCAGTTTCTACTACTTTTCTGAAGCTATAGTGACAATTCACTTTTAAATCATGCTTTATAATTTTAAAAGGATTTGCAAGACTATTACTTGATGTGTATTTCACTATAGTCTTGTGCTAAATAACAAGCATTTTGACAAGCTTCCATCTTACAGGTGATAAAACAGAGATAACGTGCTTTTTCCTAACTAAACAGCACTCAACCAGAGATAATTTTGTTCCCCAGGAGACTTGCAGCAATATGTAGAGACACTGATGGATGAAATGGAAGCAGAGAAGCTACTGGAATCTTGTGGACAGAGGCCAGAGATGCTGGTTAGCATCCTACAGTATATAGAGGACATACCTGTACCTATAATGTCAGCGCTGAGAGAGGCCAAGGCATGAGGAATAGGGATAAGAAAACTGGACAGCTGACTGGGGAAAATGTGTCAGGAATAAAGTCATAGAAACACAGCTCACCAGCTGGGTGAGATGTTACGCCAAAGAAGAGAATACACATACATAACATGGTACCCCAAAAGGTTTAAAGTTTAAGGGTCCTGAACACTGTTCATAGAACCAATCAGAAAAGCACCTTTTGGGCTGGCCAAATAGCTCAGCAGATTAAAGCACCTGCAAGCAGGTACAGGGGCCGGGAGTTCGATCTCTGGACCTGCCATGCCAGTCCCACCCACAGGGCATGCTGAGATGGCAATTGAGACTGGGCATGGTGGTGCGCACCTGTAATCCCAGCTCTTCAGAAGCTGTAAACAGGTGGATTACTAGGAGTCCAATCTAGTAACAAGACCCTGAACACCCTGTAGACCCTTCCCTAAAATACAAAAAGAAAAGAAAGGAAGCAAAGCAAAGCAAAGCACCTTTTATAATCCTACAATAGGATCTGATGATTTTCACAGGACCAAGAAAAAGATGCTGTTCTCAATCCTTCATTTACGTATGGGCTTGACCAATGAAAAGACATGGTTCCTGACCCTTAATTTACATGTGGTGTGAAGATAATGAATTTTTGATAAGACGGTTGTCCTAATACCATACTTGAATAGGGGGCTGAATGGGGGAGATGACTCTGGCATTTGGGGTATTAAAGACCCCTTTTCTTTTATCCTTGGGGCTGTTGTGGGCCCTCTTCAGCAACCAACTCTCAACTTATAGGGCATGCCTTTTTCTAAGTTCAATGAATCCATCCCCTTACTGCTTTTTCTGTGTTTTTCAGTTCTTTCTTCAAGAGCATCAAGGGCCTAGAAAGAAGCCTGTAGTACTAGCATCTACTAACAGTTTGACTCCTGCTGGGGCAACTTAGTGAGACCCTGTCTCAAAAATAAGCCTGGAAATGTAGCTCAGTGACAGAGCATACCTGGATTCAATCCCCATACTGTAAAAAAGACTCCATAGCCAAGGACTGTCTGTCCCCAAATGTGAATAAATAGTGTGTTAGTGAGTTAAACTCAGGAATCTAGATCAAATATTTGGAATCCAGGAATCCCTATTCTCCTCAGTACTACCTGCCACTGTTCTGATGTCCAACCATGAGTCTTGGACACCTGAGCTGACACATAATCTCGCTAAGAGAAAGAAAGAAACATTCATTCAAGTTTCCTTGTACAGTGTACTAGCTATGAAAACTGAGATGAGTTATAAGTGATCTGTGAACTTCTATTTTCTCAACCACAAAATGGTTATACTAGAACTGATGGGAGATTAATTAGTCTATCACCACAGTACATGGGAGAGATCTAACACACAGCAGTCTACCTCTCCTACCCTTCTCAATCTTCTCTATCCTCTTTCCTCAACTTCAGTGCTCAGTAATTGTCCTACTGTCTCCACTATGAGCATTTGCAACCTCATTGGTAGCTCTCAAGACTAACTTCAAGGGCTTAGCTATACAAGCGCTTGCCTGGCAAGCTTGAGGTCCTGATTTCTAGCCCTGGTACCAGAACTAGAAAAAAAAAGTTAATTCTCCAGACTAACTTCAAATGGCATAATGATGAGTTTCACAAAAGATCTTAGGAAAATAATGAGTCTTGCAGAGTGGCAACCTTCCCCAGATAAACTGGGAAACAATCTTTCAAGAAGGGAAATACAGATGGCTCAGTAGACACCATGGAATTTCTGAAGTATATACATAAAGACTTTATAATTTGGCCCTTAGTGATATAGCCAAAATTTGACTATACACAAGAGTCAAAGGGGCAGAGAATTCAGTGTGCAAAAATGGAACCCAAGCAACTCTCAGCCATATCTCAGGCTCAGCATCACTTTGTTGGGGTATACAAGCTCTATCCAGGCATCAGGATAAGCCTTACCTGGTGAGAGCTCAAACATCCCCTCTCCATGGAGCCTATAGGTCACATCCAGAATGCTTTACTAGATTTAGGTAGACTCAAGAAAACCTGTGATCTATGACACTCCTTTCCAATGTTCAGGATTTACCCAACTATGAAAGTATGAAAGAAACTCTGAGGATGAGTGGATTTTAGGGCTACATGGGGGGCCTCTCCATGAGAATAGGCCAAAGCATTATATTTAAATCTCTCAGAGCTTGTATATCTGAGGAAGCTGCCAGATAAAAGTGGAAATGGCTTCCAAAAGCATCAGCAGAATAGCTGTGGGATTCCACAGCTTCTAGAAGAACCCAAGGCCTAAAAGCTAGTGCTGATGAGGATGAGGAGAAGCAGGAACCCTGATTTACTGGTCAGGATCTGCGCATTACTTTGGAACGTGGGAAGCTCCTCATAAGGTTAAACACACAGTTATGATTTGCCCAACTTCCATTCTTGGACACATACCCAAGCGGTATGAAAACACCTGTGCGAAAACTTAAACACAAGTGTTCCCAAAAGGTGAACATAACCCAGAAGTCCTTCAGTCATATGAATGGATAAGTGAATTGATACATCCACACTCTATTTATGGCAATAAAAATGAATGAACTACAAATATAAGCTATAAGTTGGATGAATCTTGGAAGTGGTAAAAGAAGTCAGTCATGAGTGATCACATCTTGAATGATTCTGTTTATCAGAACTGGATAGAATAGACAAATCTATAGAAATACTAAATTAAGTAGATCAGTTGTTGCCTGGGGTATAGGATTTCTTGCTGGGTGGCTGAAGTGTTCTAGATCTGATTGTGGTCATAATTATACTACTCTGAATACACTAAAAAACATTGAATTAGGTATCTTAAAAGGTAATTTTTAGGGTAGGTGAATTACATATCAAAAAAGGTATTTTAAAAAGGAAGCAAAGAATAAGAGAGAAAAGGGGAGAAGAAGAAGGAGAACAGATCAGCCATTTGTGTTTTCAAATGCTAGAGGAGGCATGTCTCCAAAGGATCTCAGTTCGTTAGCTATTTCAGCAAATAAAAGTCCCCCTTGCTCATTGCTTGGCATTTTGGCAGGACTGGAAATCAAACTAACATAATAGAGCAGAACAGGAGAAAGGAATACAAGTCTCTCGAATTTTACATGTATGTGGGGACCTCGAGAGGACAATGAAATCAGAAGAAATGGCCAAAGCAAGATAATTGCATACGCCTTGAGACAACAAGTAATACATCTAAGAGAAATGACAAGACAAAAGCGAGAAGTGTGCGCAAACCACAGAAAGAGCCCACCTGGAAAGGAGTTTATGGAGCGAGCCTTGCCTAGAGATCCCCAGCCCCTGGCTCGGAGCTGATAAAAGCTGCCTCCAGCAAAGCAGGGTTTATGTCTTGTCTGTAGAAAAGGGAAGGGAAGCAGAAAGTGTCCCTGAATTTTAACCTTCTTCTGCTGAACAAACTTTAATATTCTATGGAGAAATATTGCAGTTTCCTTGATCTTCTAAGAAGTGATAGAACTCAGGGCTTACCTATGTGGGCTAGTGAATGAGTTGGACCACACAGATAGGCCGCTGCACTGCTGTGTTACCTCCTGGGAAGAGAACTCTGAGATCCAGACAGGGTGTTCCAAGGTGTCTTCTACTGGCTTCTTATGTTAGCATGCATCAGACCTCCGTAAATCTTGTCAAAATATGCTTTCCTGGATTCCACTCCTAGGACAAGGCACAGGGGCTCTGAGTAACTACAGAAACAATGGCAGTTATACCTGTCATATAAGAGAGGGCTGCAGAAAATAGAGATCTCATATATATTCAGCGGGATATCCTGGTGGGTACCTGTGATTCCAGTACTCTTGGAAGCAGAAGCAAAAGGATCACAAGCTTAAGCTCAACCTGCCTGGACAATGTAGCAACTTTCTGAGACTCTGTCTCAAAATTAAACTTTAAAGGAGCTAGAGGGAGTGGGGAGGTGAGGGAGGGAAAGAGGATGGGAAAAAGGGATTGAAAAATTGAAGGAGAACTTTTGCAAATAAAAGAGACCAAGAAATGGAATCAGGAGTGAGGAATGGGAGAGGTAGGGAATGGGAAAGGAATGAAGATGTATTTGCTACCTATGTAGACTTTCTGTGATAAATATAATCAGTATATACTGAAAAAATGTATTAACTTAAAAAATTTATAATAGGAATTTGCCAAAGTTTCCCAAATTCAATTCTAAGTTGAAATGTCCTCATTTGAGCTTATGCCTGTGGCTAATTAAATTATATCATTCTTAGTTTTCATCCAATTTTGTAAACAATAACAGGCAAAAAGATAAATTAAAAAAGGGGAACTCAGTGTGAAGGATGTGGTTTCAATTCCCAATACTCCAAAAATCAAAAACATAAACAATATAGCCCAGGTCCTAGGTATCTATGCAAGTGAAAAAACTATTCACATGAAACTTATACAGAGTTATAATAATTTGAGTCATAATTACTTCTATGTGGTTATACATAATTAACTCACATAAACTAGAAACCCCAATGTCTTCTACATGGTAAAAGTATAAGCACTCTACCACTCAACTCTATGTGGAACAATACTTAGACATCAAAATAATCAACCGTCGATGACACACATGACAGGAATGAGTCTCCACAGTGCTGAGCTAGGTGGAAGAAGAATGCAAAGATGGCATCTGGCCTTGCTACTGGTGTCAGGTCCCAAAGAAATTCTTTCTGTGTTCCTGGTGTTCTGAACAAGGAATTGGACAAAGCACACAGAAAAGATAGGGAGGATATATATATATATATATATATTACAAGGTCTACAGGTTCTGACTACACAGATTGGACTCTCTCCTGTTTTCAGCCTCCCAAGTACTAGGATTACAGGGGTGCACCAGCACACCCAGTCTCAATCTCAGTCTCAGTGAGTCCCAAGGAGCAGGGTGGAGGGGTGACACTGTACCCCAGTGATTGAACCCCAGTCCCTACATCTGCCTAAGCAAGTGCTTTAATCCACTGAGCTATCTGGCTGGCCCAGGAGAACTTATATTTGACTTTCTGTGATAGGTGAAACTAGAGTGACAGAAAGCAGATGGCTGATCACCAGAGGCTGAGTGTGCAGAAGGATTTGACTATAGGAGATAGATTGGTGGACCTGTTTTGTTTTTATGGTGCTGCTACCATGCCTGTATGCTACAACACTTAAAAGGTGTTTATTTTCATATGTGTAAATTGTATCCTGAAAGAATACACGGTGTGAAAGCAAAAGCCATAAAAAGTGGGTGTGCCCTGATTTAACCCAATATATACCTGAGGGCAGAGCAGTTTCTAGATGTGGGTAGCCCCAATTTTGGTAGCATAGGCAGAGGCTTAGGCACGGAGTACTGCCTCCTGGTCTCCCCACAGGCCCATAGGGTTCCAATACAACTGAGCAATTCTCGACTCAGTCCTGCACACTGGCACCCACATACTTATACCAGAGGAAAGAAGGTGTTTGGCTGAGAACGTGAAAGATACCAGACATCCAGGTGGGCAGGAATGCAAATGACTTGTGTCTTCCTCCTAGCATTTTTGTATATTTTGAAAATCTCTCCAGATATTTGTCCAATCGTAGAAGGCTTTGCTGGAGTATAAATGCAGGCACGGGTGGGACCCCAGAGCGAATTGTGGTGAAACGAGAATGAAGCTGCTGTTGATCAGTCTTTTAAAACAAATGTTTGTAAGGGGAGCAGGCAGTTGGCTCTTGTCACTTGCTGGAAAATTGTTCTTTCTCCCACAAACTTCTGCAACTTACACTTTCCCTGTATATTCCTAAAATTCCACCTTAAGACAAGCCGAATGTACTCATGGCCAAATTCTCAGCTTGGAGAAGTTTTGCTTAAGCAATGACATACTGCATCTGGATCCTTTGCACCCGCATCTGGAAGCCACATGTCTGCAGCAGCTGTATAAAAGTCAGCCCAGGAAACCTAGGGTGACACTTTTTTGCCAACAATCAGGCGGCATGGACCTCACTCTTCTCTGGGCACTTCTGTCACTGGTCTCTGTGGCCTGGGGCCAGTATGGTGACTACGGGTACCCATACCAGCAATACCATGACTACGGTGATGATGGCTGGGTGAATCTGCACCGGCAGGGCTTCAGCTACCAGTGTCCCCCTGGGCAGGTGGTGATGGCTGTGAGGAGCATCTTCAGCAAGAAGGAAGGTTCTGATAGACAGTGGAACTACGAGTGCATGCCCACTCCCCAGACCCTCGGGGAGCCCACGGAGTGCTGGTGGGAGGAGATCAACAGGGCTGGCATGGAATGGTAAGAAGCAGCTGCTGCGCTTGGGCTGGGATGGCTCCGCACACCCGCAGGAAGACATTGGCCTCTTAGAGAATAACAGTGCCTGTAACTAGGGCAAATCCTACCTGGACCAGATGGTTACAGTATGTGCTCTGGGTGGGATAGCTCTCCCAGGGAACAGACGTGATAGGACAAGGCCGGGATGAGGGTGTTCATGGCATGTGAAGTCATTTGTGATTCTGTTCATTGCACAGGCAGCTCTAGTCTTGGTTTTATCCAGGCAGGGCTCGTACTGGTCTGCAACATGTTTACCAGACTGCAGAGAACAACAGGTACAAGAATTGAACTTACTTAAGAATATTTTCAGTAATTAAACATTGTTGCAACATCAGAGAAACATGTTCATTTTGAGGTGTTTTGTTTGTATTGTGTAACAAAAGTACTAGTCCACAGTTGTTAAGGGGAATAAACAATTGAACACTCAGCAAAGATAGTTTGAGAAATGATTTAGAGCAAGTGAAGCAGGGAGAAGACAAAGAAATTGAAGCAAAGATTTCTGAAATTAAATAGTTTTCTGTTGCCCTGATTAACTGTGTTCTCTCAATTATGAGTACTGTGATTTTCTCCTCTGTCCAAACTTCAAGTGGCTTCTGTGGTCAGAATATAGTTTACTAAAAGCTTTTAGAGAGAGGTTCTGCCTCTCCTTGACTTGCAGTCTGCCCTAGTCAACATCGCGAATGGTTCCAGTTTATACTTCTCTGTGAAAAGTGACTGGGTTCAAGCCCTGGTTCTTGGTCAGAGCTTGTCCTAGAAGCCACTGATTGTCAACCAGTTATGCACAGACACCAAGTGCAGCCTGGACTGCAGAAGGGAGAGGTTGGAGGCTGATGCTTGGGGAGACCGGGCAGGAAGGGGCAAGCCCAGCTGGTAGGCTGCCCCAGGTGCTATCTGTGGAGCAGCTCTGGGAGGGTGCGGCAGTGGTCAAGCACCAAATCCTAAGAGTCCTATCACCTGACAGAGGGCAAGGAGATTCCCACCCAGATAAGAAACTTAGACCCACACTGACCTCAGAATTAAGTTGTAGGCTTGCTGACTTCTGCTGTAGAAAAAAGAATTTTCCAGATGTGTCATTAAAAGGCACAAAAGAATCTATTGGACAGAAATTTGGAAGTACACACACAAAGAAATAGAGCGCACACTCTCAAGAAAGGCAGAGCATGATACAGGGCGCTGAGTATCTTTATGTGGCCTTGAGTGTGCCTTCCAGACAGGCGATCTGGGATGCTGTTCACACTGTCTGTCTGACCAGCCGGCTGGCAGACTGTGTTGGGTTGACTTCTACGTGGTCCCAAGTTGAGCTATGTTGCTCATTAGCATTGCTGCTTCCCTGGGGGTGCAAGAGGAAGCGCAGTTTACAGGTGAAAAGAGGGGGTGGTCTACTCAAAGATGACAAGGCCAATTTGCAGGTGAAAGAGAATCACTCAGGTTTACTATGTCTCAGGAGGAGAGAAGAGAAAATTTAAATTGGACTTGAGTCATTTTTGTATCCTAGAGCTGCAGTGTCTCTTAAAAGTACAATTTTAAATTACATTTTTCCCTGCCTCCTTTCTCCCTATCTTTATTTTTTCCTGTCCTACCTTGGTCCAAAAACTAGAAATCCCAGAAGAAAAAAAAATGCTATTGGTGAAGGAGCTGAGCAAAAGAGGGATTTCTCCTGAAAACAGCTTCTAGGCACTGCTGCCTATCCTGTCTGGCCCCATGCTAGCCACACGTGGGTTATCTCACTTTAATGCTCAAAACAAATCTATAACTCACTTTTAGAAGGAAAAACTGTGGTTGAGAGATCAAGTACTTTTTCTTGGCTGGAAAGCTGGATTTGGATCCAGAAAGACATAACCTCAAAGAGTGTGTGCTCAGCCACCTTGGTGGGTTCCCAAGAGCCAACTGCCCCAGCACAGTGCAGACTCCAAACCCACAGCTGCATCTCCATCAGCAGAACCAGGGCCATGGACCAGATTCAAGCTGGTTCCCTTGGAGGCTGGAGGGAAGGTCCTGCAGAATCTTGGCAGACACTCAGTCCTAGGGGGTTCAGTTTGATTACCATGACCAAGGAGGGTCCCAGAAGCTCATGGGAGGGGTGGGCAGAGGGTCCTGGAGGCAGCTGTAGGCTGGGCATCAGGACAGCAGACACTGCTGAGATAGCCTTTATTATGCCTTTACAACCACCCCTACAGCTTCTGGTAAGGATATTAGGTGATCCTAAACCCCTTCAGACAGATGGCTGACTCAGAGAGCAGGCTGGCCTCAGGATAGGCTCCAGTGACTTCCCATAGCCTAGTGCAGAGCATGACATTGACCTACTTACAACTGTCTCTCCAGTCCTCCCATTTCAGTGGACCTTTCATGTGGACAAGGCCTCTTTTAACACCCTTTCTCAGAGCCACAGTACAGCAGCAGGCACAGGACGTTTCTCAGACACTAACGAGGGATCCCTGGGCTCTGAGTCAGAGGGCCTGGGCCTGGACCATGACCTAGACCCAGGGCTCAGCTCTCCAGGCTCCTGTCTCATTTGGAAAATGAGCACTCAGACAGTATCATCTGGAAGCCTCCAAAGGGGTGTGGCTCATGCTCAAAGTACACTGGGTTTTTCTCATGTTCCTGCTTCTGTGTTCATCCCTGTTACGGAGAAAAGCCAAACAGTGTTTAGTTTTGAGCTTGCCAAGTTGTGACTGGTTTGTCATGAAGTTCTGAAATATCTTAAGAAAACCAAAAGAATAAGGTGAAAAACTGCTTTTGTTTGGTCTGTGGGGGGTGGACTGAAAAGCACCTCCCTTCCACTTCCTCTGTGTTCGCAGGAGACAGGGTGGAGGTGTTTTTCCTTTCCTTTCTATCCTCTATTGCCGCCTGCTCCCCTCCATTAATCACAGGACTGAAAACTCACAAACAAGCCAAGCAGCTTCCTCAATATAGGAGGAAGGATCCCAAGAATGATCCCAATCCCCTTTCCAGGCACCTTTTTTAGGTGGTTATGATTTTGAATTCAGACTCCAGTTGCAGTGAAAAATTTGGAAGGAAAGAAAACGCTCACAGTCTGGGAGCAATTACATCTTTCATGGCTGCATCCTCTTAATCTGTTCTGGGGGAGGAGGAATTGTTGATGGTTCTGTGCAACTTGGCTGACTTTTATAAGCAAATTAGCTTTAAGGTTTATTTTAAGTGAGAAAGGAGTCTGGGAATACAAACTTAACAATAATAGGAACTGCTGAAAAACTTGCTAATGGGCATCATCTTTAAAAGCTGCAGCTGAGTCACCTATACTGCCCCTCTTTGTTTCAGTTTCTGTGCTGAACAGCATCTCTTCAGATGCCAGACTCTGAAGCAGGGAAGTTAGGTTCCATCACAGCCAGTATCGGGAACCTGGGCTCCCACAAGAGCCTTGCATTCTTGGGGCCTGCCTGGTTTCTCTGACTTGGGTTGGCCCAGGCTGCAGAATTATGGGCCGTGTGTGGCACAAGGTGAGGCTGGAATTATCTTGTGAGGCTGAGCTGCCCTGGGGAGAAGCAGCACTGGGCTGGGTATCAAGAAAGCAAAGTTCACTGCTCGGGATTGAATGATCTCTGAATGCTGTGGGTTTAGCAACTCAGCTCTTTCACCCTGTCAAAGAGAAAAAGACAAAAAGCGCGGGCTCCACCTCACCAGCTGTGGGAGGTGTTCCTGCGATGCTTACAGGATAAAGCTGAAAACACTAAGGCAAATCCAACTCCAAAACAATGCTTGCCACATGGTATCCTAAGAATGGACAGCCAATAAAGACAGAGAACATGGCATCTGGTGAGGCTCATGTTGGGCAAGCAGCTTTGCATGGAGCAGTGTTTGGAAGAACAGTGCTCTGGGTATTCATATCTTTTCCCCTCCTGTGCTACAGGGAATCCCACTAAGATGTTTTAAAGCATCAATTTGTCTTAGAGATGAATTTATTAATTCATCAGTGACAGTCCACACAATACAGAAGAGACTTATCCCAAGAGCTTTGTCAGCATCAAGGTAAATTTGAAGCTGCATCTGTTGGTCAGGAACTCAGTTTCCAGAACCCAACTGTGATTAAGACCATGGCTTTGTAAACTACAGAGCAATTGTTCCAGTTCATCATTCTCAGTATTTAGTGCACACTGCACCCATCTCTTCTCAACCAGCTTCTCCCTCCCTCTATATGCTTTCTTTCCTGAAGGACGTGGATCACTCCTGGGTTTGTATTTGTTTATGGTTATCAAAACATAAGCTTCATGAACATAAGGACTTTGTCTCATTCACCACTATGTCATCAATGATTAGGATAGACCTGGCATATGATAGGTTCCCAGTAAATATGTAGTCAATGATTGTTTGTTTTTCTTTTGTTTTGTTCCTGATACCAGGGTTTAAACTCAGGGCCTTGTGCTTGGCAGGCAATCACTTAAGCTGTGTCATTTCCCCAGCACTTGGAGTCAATGATTGAATCAGTCTTGATCAATGTTACAAATCCCAGCCAATGTTCCTATCACGCTCAACAAGGAAGCTTACAGTTCTTCTGACAGAGGAAGCCACTTTTCTTTTGTCTTTTATTCTTGATAGTCTTATACCTATAATGTGGGCTCAGCTTTATTGCTTACCCCTCACTTTGTCTTGTTACATTTATCAGCATAGGGTGGTTTTTGATATTTCCACAGTGTCTCTAACATATGACAGAGAATTGCCAATTCTCTATCACTGAAAGATGAGTTCTTTATGAAGGTCATATCTTCTCAATAATCTTAGTATCTCAAATTTACCTAAGAAATAGAAGAGTGAAGTCTTGATTTCAGAGCTGTAAAGACTAAATGCTGCATGCTATACTGGTTTGGATCATGATATTACTCTAAGAACTAATGAAATTCAAATAAAGTTTACAGATTAGGATGGTGCTGTATTGACTTTGCAGTGTTCCTGAACATGTCAAGCTCATGCTGCGAAGGCTAGCACTATGGGAAGGGTAGACATGAATTTTATTTATTTTGTTTAGATTTTTTTTGTTTTTCTGAGACCAGGTCTCACTGGGTAGTTCAGGCTGGGCTTGAACCCACTTTCAATCTGAGGTTGGCCTTAAACTCATGGAAATCCTCCTGCTTCAGCCTCTTGGGGGCTGGGATTGCAGGTCTGTGCACCACACCCAGCTATAGACATGAATTTTATATTGTGTTTTCAAAATTCATCT